CGTAATTTTCTCTATTTAAAAAAAATCCTATAGCCATCCCAAGGACAGCTTAAGCCCAGCTTGATAAATTAGATGTAGAATACATTTCCAGCCCAGCAAGGATATATTGTCTGACAGCCGAGCAACGAATAGTGCTTGAACTATTTCTTGTAACATGTGCAACCTCATACACTGCCGGCAGCTGCCGATACATTCCTGAAGGGATTTTTAAGTAGGAAGTTTGATATTTAGGATGCAAATACAGAAGATTTACGTAAGGATGGATCTGGCATTCCTTTTCAGTGGTTCCCAGTCAAATCAACCCTGATGGTTGAGTTCAGCAAGGCCATGGTTTACTTTGTGAAGTTTTCAATTAAACAGGGGATAAAAATATATGGGGTTATAAGGGAATATGCCATGCCAGCACATCAAGCAATTCTAAACCCTTCTTCAGATACACATTGCAAGGTTCATTCAGGTTCCATAGCAGGACTTCCACATTCCCAGTGCGAGCACTTTACCTGCTCTTCATCAGTATTCCCCAACATGCCCTGCACTCTCTGCTGGCCTTTGCTGGCAACCGCCCTACCTGGGGAGTTTGTATCATGTAATTTAAATCAGGGACACATTTCCCTAGTTACCTTCTTGCCGAAATTGTTCCACAAGTATAAGCTGTACTACAGACATGGCTGTACCAGTTACGAAGGTGCTTTGAAAGAGCTCCAGTTATTTTATAGCAGTGGAGCGCTCCTCTCATTTAGGGGGCTGTATCCTATTAATTAGCCAAGTACACTGAATAATTAATATATGACTAATATAATAATAACTATCCAAAGCATGAAGCAAAATTCAGATGACAACCCCAACTCTTCCCATTAATCACAAACAACTGCAGGCTACAAGTTACACATGTGTGCATGTGTGGGGCATGTGTAATTTTGTGTGTGCATCCACGCACACCTGCAATGCAGGCAGAAAAATAAAAAGTAAGCAATAGCCCATGGGAGTTTCCTGAGGGATTTCTCTGCATACAGGGAAAAGTAGTGAAGGAAAAGTGAAAAGAAGGTTAAAACCAGACACATATCCATCAACTCAAGGGGAAAAGCTAAAGGCTGCCAGGTGCTACAGCGAGTTAATGCTCCTCTCCAAGGTGGAGTGGCAGAGGAAAGGCTGGAGAAGGAACTTTGCTGCCTGTGAGCAGAATTAATGGGTGGTTCTGGACCGGCTGCGCTGCTGAGCTGCTGCTTCTCAATGAGTTGTTAATGGGGAACATGGAGAGTTAGGAAGTAATGAGGACTTTGTCAATACAGCTGTGGATAAAAGCGGGTAAGGAACCACTTAAGGAAAAAACCATCATACAAATCTGCAACTACAGATTCTGTGCTTTCCGGTGATTAAGAAATTACTTGCGATAATTTTGGAAGTGGTATAGAGGCTGAGAAGCAAAACAGAACCACGGGACAGATCCTTTTATTAAACCAGAAGCAGCAAACAAGAAAGAAATCGTGGTAACAGTGGTCTACAATGTCTTCTTTATTTAACTCCTGGGAAAGCAAAAGAATGAACAAACCTAAACAATCTGCAGCTGCCTGCAGGTGGAGGCACTGGAGGGGCACTGACATTGCAGGCAACACCTGGCACAAGACAAATGTCACTATCACATCCTAGCTGGATGCATTAGGGAAGGGGGACCCCAAGAAGAAGGTCCACACCACCCCTCCTCATACCTCCATGCCTGCCAAAATAGCTGTCTACATCCCCACAAACAGGTCCACACCCCTTCCTGTACCTCTATCCCTGTCAAAATAGCTGTCTACATGGTACCCGGGGCCATTAGATAACCTAACCCAGCAGGACTGGCTTGTGCTGCTGTCAACACAGACAAAAAAAATCAGAGGGTTTCTTCCAAAGTGACCAGATTGAAAGAAGAATATGAATTTGGGGTGGGAGGGGGTAACACATCCATCTTATGGTTGGGTTTGTTGGCATTTAGGAAGTGGGGAATCTCTTCCAGGTTTTCTGAGCTATCTTGGCCCCTTTCCACCTCTTCCCCTTCCCATGAAAGCATCTTCCCCCGCAAGAGCTTTGCTGTATAACCACTTCCCCCTTTTACATTTTGTAAAGACAAACACTATTAAAAACGCACCACATTCTCATTTTTTTTACCTTCACAAAGGGCAAACACAGAGAAACACTCCCTAGAAAATACTCCCTAGAAATGAAACTCCAGATTTAGTCAAAGGTAAACATCCATTTTACATGTCCCCCAAGACTTTGAAGGGAATACCGCTTTCTGTGCTAAGTGAAAGTGCTAAGCCAGGCAGGACCGCCACCGTACCAGCTTCCCTCCTGTATCCAGCCTCAGCAGAACCACATGCAGAACCTTTGCAGCTCCCTAATTCAACCCAGTTCAGAGCTGAAATCCAGGTGGGATGGGGACAGGTGAGGAGAACGGGAGCAGCTCTCAAGGGGTCACCGAGTCCTGCAAGTGCCGGAGGAGCTCTCTGGCTGCATCCCACAACCCTCTACAACCTGGGCATGCGTGCTCAGGGAGGAGGGGACCAAGATGGTAGCCAAGTTGGCTTCATGTGAGCCAAGGACAACCCCGGTTTCATGGGAATAGTGCCACGGCCAGATCCACGCAGTCCTGGCTTCTCTGTACCACCAGGGACACAGAGAGGCCAAGGATGGGGGAAGATACCTGGACCTCCCTGCTTCCTTGTGAGCTCCTTCAACATAAAAGCAATTGCCACAGCTGGAGAAGAAGAGAGGGAATACAGCACGCAGACACAGCACAAAGCTTGCAAATATTCTACATATAAAAATATCATATTTTAAAAACCCACTCCCCCCAATGCACAAAAAACCATCATGGAAACTGAAACCACCAGAAATAAGTCATGGACCACAAAGCGTGCTTGCGTGTAAAAAAAGGATGGGAAATAGGAAGGCTCCTCAGAGCGCTCAGGAGAAGTCAGCTTCGCTGATCTCTTCTCCAGGCAGCACAGGACGGTTGTGTCCAGCTGATGAAGCTCCAGAGCACAACCCCACGGAAATATCCAGGCTCATGCTTAACCCTGCACCGCTCCCACTCCAGCGCTAAGTCCTAACGCATGTTTGATTAGGCAACAGAAGGAGTATCTGCTCCGTCCAAAAGTGACCACAAGCTCTTGGCAATAACACTGAGTACTTGCTCTGGCCCTAACCGCACACCGCAGCTGTTAAACCAGCCTGCCAAAGGAAGACATCTTGCCAGACAAAGTATTCAAAATAAAGCAGAGAAGAACAATCACTTTAAATAATCAGCATTTCAAGTGCTCTAACGAAGGGAACATGTATTAAGGCCACCTCAGAGAAAGCAAAACCTGTTAAAGCAAATGCTAAAAGCAATTTTTCAAATATTCCTGCCCTTTTCACTTTCCACAGGGAAGTCTGTAGAAATCTTATGAAATCGGAGCCTCAGCATTATTCACCTTTATATTCCCACTGGTATTACTCCCACAGATGGGGATGACAGTTCAGGTGAGGGTATTTTCTAATTTTTGGTTATTTTTTGTGCATACCAACCACTCTTGGACACAAGTTAAGCCTTCTGCAATAACAGAAGGATGAGAAATCATGAGATTAAAAATATTTTTTTTAATTGAGAAAATTCTCAATTATTGTAACTTCCCTTCTGTTTTGTTTGTGGGTTTTGGTTTTTTTTCATACTTTGGAAACAATAGAGCAAAAAGTGACAAATATGCTCACAAACCGACCCAAACTTGAAAAGAAACAAAATGCCATCCCAGGCAAATGGCAAAATTCCCAGTAACATCAATAATGCCAGAGTTTCATCTTGTATGCTATTCTGTGAATCAATATAAAAGTATTTCAATGAAGATATCATATTATATACCATTTTTGATTATACATACAATGAGATTCTCAAATAAATGCTGCTTTTGAGATGCAGACCTCATACTGAAACAATAACCAAGCCCCTATATGTGCAGCTCTTGGAGCACACGTGCCGATCAGAGTTTGGCTCACACATGTAGAGTGATATATACACTGGAATGTAAATATGAAGCCCACATGAAAAAGCAGCTTGCATTTGCACCACCATGATACCCATCTAAAAATGAATACCCAGCCTTTTCCAAGCACCAGCCTCTCCCCTGATCTCCATACTGGGGAAGCCTAGTTTAGGGCTGGTGAGTAGCACAGCTGAGAAATAGCAGAGTGTGACCCAGCACACAACTGGAGGCTTGTGTTACTGGAGGGTTTTCTGGGCTTTTGATGGGAGATGGCTTTATTTTCTTGGCCAGCAAGCTATCCCAGTTGCTTTCTGCAGTGCCTGGGTGCAGAGCTGCCCCACACTGGGCACCCTGCCTGACTGCCTGCCGGCACTTTGTAACCTCATCACCAGCTTCAGTGGCATCTCCTTCTCACTTACAGCAGACTCAGTCAGGTGTGCCTCCCCTCCACTGGCCACCTCCAGGGCAGGGACAACAGCAGCACATCCAGAGCCTGCCATGTCCCTGGCCAGGACAGCCCTGAGGTTTCTCCTGTGCCTGGGTACTCGGCATGGCTGGAGCCCAGCATCTTTAACAACCTCTCCTCTCCACACACTACTCTATTCATTTTCCACTTGCCCAATCACAGCTGTCGAGCCCTATTAATGCGTAAAAAAACCCACATTTAAACCCAAACCTGCTAGGCCAGAAATAGAAGTTCTCATTTTCTTTTCCAAAACACAGAATAGCTGAGCAACAACGAAAGGAAAAGGAAATCTCTCCAGAGCGCACATCTGGAACCAATTTGCTGTATGTAGCCACTGGGTGTCACTTTTGATATATACTGGGTCAGCCACGCAGTGCTTCAGCAAGAGAAATGGATTTCAAAGAGGTGATCCTAAACCAAACCAGACTGCTCCGCAGACTCTCACGCGCAAGCTGTAATTAGCAATTAGCTAGCCAGGCTGATTTATTAACAAAACGTCTTTGCCACGACATTAAGTGCTGCGCAGTGGCTCTTACCTCTCGGTCTGCAGTGTGACTTTTGACGGTTCCACGTTGGGGTTTTCCCACTCCATCTGTGGGCAGTGCATGAAGTAGCAGAGGGTGTACAGAGCCTCCGGCTCCCAGTAGAGCGATCCCTGCTTCTGGTGCATCGGCGTCCCGTTCCCATGCTGCTTGGCGTTGAGGGGCTGGAGGTGGTGCATCGCTCGAGACACCAGGTCACCTGGGAAAAAGCAAAAGCTGGGTGAATGTCAGGCTTTTCGGCTGCCTCTCCCCAAATTTTTCAAACCAAAAGGCGTGTCAGGTTGGTGTTCCATTTAACCTCACATATGCAAACAGTAAAGAGTAAGACAGGATCCTGTGCACTGCTCTTTGCCACATCAGACTTTGCCTGGCTGTTTACACAGCGTGGTGTGACATACCTGGGCTGTGGACAATCTCCCGAAGGCACGCAGGAGACGTGTTTCTGCAAATACAGCATGTAGGTAGCGTCCAGCTGGCCCACCTCAGCACCACCAGAAGAGCCAGTACGTCACGGGCTGGGGTCACAGCTACCTACAGGCAGCCCTTGGAGGCTGCCAAAACCCCACAGTACCAAGAATGACCAGTGGGGACGATGCAGAGTGGCACCAGAAGCTGCATGCTCCTGGGTAGGGCACAACAGGAGGAGGGAGGCATCGGGTAACACACAGAGCACTGCAGGAGTGTGAGAAGGGACACGAGGGCGAGGAAAAAAGGTGGGGGGGGAAATTTGCTAAAAGACAGTATCAGAAATGTGCAACCAAAATTGCAATTTTTAAGCCCAGGCTGGGCCTGGAAAACTTATGTTAGTAGAAGAGCAAAACCTGTGAAACAGGCTCATCCAGTCCCTGAGGTTTTCAGAGCACAGAAAATGGCCCAAGAGAAACAAGCTCATTGTCTCCCCTGTGCCAGTGTGGTTCTGGGTGCAGGGCAGGCATGGGAAACCAGCCTCAATATGCAGACCAGGACCAGTAAAGCCAGCAAATGAGACTAGCAGGCAAATATATGGGCAAGCAGCAGTGAGTTTCTTAGCACAGAACTGATTGTAACTAATTAACTAAAGCATCTCCCTCCAAGGCAGTGAATTTTACGTTTGTTGACTAGTGACCACTCCATCAAAGGCAAGGAAACAATTGTGGTTATAAACCGCTTGCTTTCACATGCTCAAGTCATGCTGAGAGTGCTTTGGGGGCAAATAATGATCTCGGATCAAATCAGATGGTTTATTTTAAATGAAAATCTGAGCAAGAGCCCTTTGGGTCACTCTTAAGCTATACAAATGTGAGTGATGGGGAAAAGAGGACATAATTTTCCAGTGTTAAGAAGAAGTCATATGTTTTCTCTTATTTGTTTTTCCCAAGAGACCATTGGGCACTGAAACTTGGAAGAAAAAGTTGGAAATGTACACCAAGGTAGGAATATAAAACCAAATCTCGGGGGGAAAAAAAGGCTGGATACTGAACTCCTGGGCAAACTTTGACTGTGTGCAAGGCAGAGCACAGGGGGTTTTTTTGCAAAGTCCCACCCCTGTGAACACACCACAGCACATCACCTCTCTCCAGCCTGACTTGCACAGAAAATGCTGCTGCTGCTGCAATAATGTGCACCAGGGAGAAGAGAAACGTCTCACTGAAAAATGCTCAAGCCCAGTTCTCCAAAAACACAGCCTTAAAACCATGAAGAGAAGAAAACCACTGGCATGAGAAAACTGCCGAGTCCGTGATTTCAGGGTTTTGACACAATTTTTTGCTGCACTCTGCAATATTCCTCTGATTCAAAGCTTTCATTTAAAAATAGTTTCTGCCTTTTCCCTCTGCCAGGAAATTATCACGACAGAACCCATCTTGCAGCCCTGCATGCTCAGAAATTCCGAGAGAAGCTGTGCAGGCAGAAAGCCTGCAGGATCAGGTCCACAGCAGAAACACATGTGCCTCTGAGATGACTCTTCAGTCCTGCACAAAATTATCTGCAGGCAACCAGAAGCAGGAGGAAAGTTTGGGACACCCTTCACTCAGCTCCCTCTGTCACAGCAGACATGCACTGCCAAGTCTAGCATGGGCCAATTTAACTGCTAGTAACCTTGCTGATAGCAAAAGTAAATTCCTTTCTTCTCTGAATTGGCAAAAAAATTGCCTAGAAGTGCTGGCTCCAACATCCAGCTTAACTAATAACAGCAAAAGCAGAGAAAAAGGACTTACACTAAATTCAGCCTTTTCAGACCCAAACCACTACAGCACTAAAGCATGTGGTTAAAGTTAAGCACATGACTATTCTTATTTCAGAGGACTGAGACAGCAGGCACCAGAGAACGCCTCTGACTTCTGTACCAAACGATGACTAAAAATCAGGATGCAATTTAGGCCCAGATTCAGGCAGCAGCATTACTTCATCCCCATTCCTCCCCGAGCACTGGGGCCATGCAACTTTGATGACACATCCAGCACCAGAGGAAGTTGCAGGGTAAGTAAGGAGGGAAAGCAGCAGCAAGAATGACGTAGGCAGGGCGGGCAGCTCAGCACTGCTGCTGATGCAAGGCTGGAGGAACTCGAGCCTCAATTAAATCAATGGCAAATCTCCTACCCGTTTCAGTACGACCAGGAGCTCACCATTTTATTCTGTATTTCCTCAACTGCTTCTTAAGAAACCCAAACCAAGTCATGCTATTAAAGCTGAATTAATGCTTTTTATGTTTAAGCCTCATTTAATTACATTATACCAAAAACTGATTGGCTTAGATCTTGCTTTTGCCTTTGCTATATTATCTCTGGTTACCTTTAAAATAATTTCTATATTAGCAATTATTATAACATTCCTCTGTCAGAGACAACTCAAGGCTTAAATAATCAATACCTATAAAGCATCAAGCTTCACAGAGGACAGTAAGTAAGCATAAAAAGCTATTATCACCCTGGGACCCAACAGGCAGAACAATGGAGGTAGGACAGGAATTGCTGGTCTCTATTTTATTCCACAGCGTAACCTCAGACAAGCCAGTGCACGCCCTGGTGCCCTTTTCCTCCTCCAGCCACATCCAGTTATGGTGCAAATTCTTCAGGGCAGAGACTGTGCCTTGGTATATCTGTGCACCAGGATCAGTGCCAAAAAGGGACGATGGAGTTGACAGCCGCACACACACGCTGTATAGTAGTACTTATGCATACTCTGTAAAATGGAGCGTTGTACAACATCTGGTTCAAGATGCAAGTGTGTTGTTTCAATCCCTACCATGTTCTGCCACTTCTTCACAGAATTGTAGAATCATTTTGGCTGGAAAAGACCTTTAAGATCATCAAGTCCAACCATAAACCTAGCACTGCTTTCCTTGCTAAAGATGCTTTTGCTTCTCCATTTTCTTCCAAAGAAGATACCAAGAGTTGAAATTCTCTTTGATATTGGCCAGGGCACTCCAAGCCCATGGTCATGAAACCATCTCCATGATGGGACTCACTGGTCTGGTCTCCAGCAGCCAGCCAACTCAAGTCTCATCTGGAAGACCAATCTATATTTGCTCCCCTTACCAGCTGTAAAAGCCACAGTATATCTGAACACCAAGGGCAATCTTGAACTTGTGGCCAAGTATCTAGTGGAAAGCCCCCTTCATCCCTTTGTGTTAGCTGTCTCTGCTCTTCAGAGCCATGTTCAGCTACAGCAATGCTCTGCAAGGGGAGGTTACCTGCTCACACCATTGCTGGCTCTTCTGCTTCTTTTTTGGCCCTGAAATCACGTCTCAGATATATTAACTGAGTGCGTCTGGAAGACCAATAAATTCCTGAGTGCATCACTTCCAAAAAAACCCATAAAAAAAAAATAATCCCAGCAGCTGAGTCAAACTTGTAACTCCAGGGATGTGGCTACCAAGGGCTGTGGTGTCATGACACAAGGGGCTCGGCGAGGATCCCTGCCTCACCGTCCCCTGCAGTCATTCTCACCCCTGTACCACCACCTGCAACCCATCCAAGGAACAGACTGGGGGAGCCGATCTGTCTGACAAAAAACGTTGCCAATTTTATTTTATTTTTAATTTAAACCAAATAAACACTTTCACAATTTACACAACATAAGCCAAGTGAGCCAACGCACAAACTGCTCTGCTGGCAAAGCCAGGGAGAGGAAGACATCTCGTTATGCAGGGTAGACACACACACACCAAAAATGAACAGCAAGGTGGGGGGATATTTGAGGATATTTTTGTTGCCAAAACAGTGAAGCCACAACTGGAGGGAAGGCTCCTAGAAGGCAGCAAAGGAGGTGGCAAGCCTGAGGCTGGCACTGTTGCAGTCCTGGGTCAGGATGGGGAAGAGCTCCAGCAACACAGCTCCATGCTGGGGCCGGTCAGCCCGGAGCAGAAACACTGTGCCTTGCACACCTAGCCAAGGGCCCGCAAACCCATCACCGCAGCGCTGCGTGCAGACAGCTGCTGCTGTAGCTGCCAGTATTTCATCCCTTCCACAGCTAAAGCAGGACTCGCCCATCACTGCTGCTGTCAGTTCAGCACAGTTTATGGATGCAAAGTCCACATACATTTGATTTAAAGACTGGAAATATTATGTAATGTGCATGTTGTGACACAGGCCTGGTTTAAGGCAATACTGAATATTTAAGGAACAGCTTCACTGACTTCAAGCCAAAGATGTGATGTGACAGGGAAAGTTAAGCTGCTCCAGTCTGCAGCGGGGTGGTATATTCACAACATACAGCACACAACTGGACTGCTCCAGCCCTCTCCACAGTGACTAGCTAAGCACTTTTTTCCCCAGTGTTTGGCTTCAGTAAAAGCTATTATCACTGCTCTTAGTATTTTAGAGCCCAGAGTTTAAAAAATAACACATCCATTTCCAATTTTTCCAACAGAGGAGGAGGAGGAAAAAAAAAAAAAAAAAAAGAAAAAAATCAAAAAGAGAAGGAAGAAAGAGGAAATGATAGATGCCCAATGCCCACTTCTGAGGAGCTTTCTGAAGGATTTTATAGTCTGTCATAATGGACGTGATCTTGCAAATATGCCTGCTTAAGAGCAGGCTTGCTGCTTTCAGAGGAATAAACTTCCACCCCCTAAAACATCCAGCTGGGTGTGTGTTTGCACAACCATGACCCAGAGGTGAATGATGCTGGACCGATCCTTCCACAGCCACTCCCTATGACACCTACCTTGAGGTTTTTCTAATTCCAAAAACACATCCTAAAACTGCAAGAACAACTTAACGA